GTGGATGGGAAGCTTCGTACCGTCCACCATCGTTGCTGTAAACTGGGTTTCTTCTGAGGATTCTCCATTTTTCTCCAACGTCCCGCGGTCGCACACCGAGTGGGACGCACCACTGTCCACCAGGGCCTGGAGGCGACGCCCGTTGCAGATCACCTCGAGTACTAGTGGTTGCTGCTGCTCCGAGTATCCGTAGATGGTATTGCTTATAGGATCGTAGGGTACATCGAATATGTTATCGCTAGGTCCTGCGCTCGAAGATGCAGCTTCAGTATCAGTTTTCAACTGAGAAAGGTTAGAAGGATTTATCCGAGGCCGATTCGGCTTCTCTTGGGCCTGGAACCTTCTACTAAGCCTTTGCAGCTGTGTAGGCTTCATATGTGGGGAACAGGGAGCCTTTGAACAGTGCTGCAGGGAGAGAATATTAACTCCTCGGAACGCTCGACCCGTATTAGCGCTCTGGAGTAGGGTCCCCATAATACCCGGTACCGGTTTAATTTCTGACTCTCCCTTAATAAAGGCTTGAAACCCACGAGAAGTAATATTCTTACTTGTCGGGGTATACGGCTGGAGTTTCCTGGTCGGTGTAGGGTCTTGTTTCGCGGATCCTCCATTAGTCTCGGCGATTTCCCCTGGTGCCGGCTGGTCTTGACGTTTTAAATTTGCGCCACCATATTCTCATTTTTTCGCCCCCTCCGAAGTTGCCACGTTGTCCGTTTTCTGCTTCGGGGGTGCCGCACTGTTCTTGTCCTTCAGCTCCGCACACCTTCTCTTCATTTTCCAACATGCCAAGATACGATGTCCTGTAGCGCCGCAAAATTTGCACGTCTCATTATTTGCTAGCCGCTGCTCCACATCGCCCTCGTCGTTCTCCATCGGGTCGGCAGTCGTGGGTGGTGCCAATCGCCCATGCCACTAGTTGGCTTGTTGCGTCGTGTTCCGTAGTAGCTACTGTTCAACGTGTCGAACCGTTCGATCAGTGCTGCCGGAAATTGCGCCCACGTCCCCTCGCTTTGGACTATTCTGTTGTTGATCCACTCTAGAGCTGGGCCTCGTAACAGTGTTGCTGCGAGCCGTATGCGCATTGCGTCTTTTGTCGGGGTCGTGCATCCAACGGCTTCGAAGTAAATTTCGAGTTCAGCTACAAATCGACGAACGTCGTTGTTTTTTACTGTAGGATCGAACGCCTCCGGTTGCCTCGGCTTCACTGCTTCGAGGTTAACTGTAGCTGCTGCCGTTGTCGCATGTAGAATTGTCGGTGTTGCCGCTGCTGCTGCTGCTACTGTTGTCGCTGCTGCTGTGGCGGTTGCCGACTGGTTCGCAAGGAGTTTTTCGAGTCGTGGGAGCGCCCCATGTATTTGCTTATGCTCAGCACGTAACTCCGCGATTTTCTGTACTGAAATATCTCCTTTTCCCTCCATTTGGCGATTTACAGGAAGACGCGCGACAAAACTAATCGAATTCTAGGTGCTGGTCGACTTACTGTGAGTCAAGTTGACTATAGGATCGACGAGCGCGAATTCTGTAGGTCGCGTAAATCTCCCCTGGGCGAAATTCGCGTCCGATCTTGGCCGTTGAGGAGAAAATCAATCCGACGCTCCAAATTCCAAATTGTTTGGGCGAAATTCTCTGGGCCGTTGAGATGAAACTCGATCGAACGGTCGAAACTCCAACCTTTCTACCAGTAAATCTGAGGGGAGTTCGAAAACCGAATCGAGGGGGACTTAGAAAAATTGCGCGGAACTGGTTTTACATACCCGTATCGGCGCTTTCGTCGTCGCCCCCGCGGTTTTTTAAAGGCCGGAACTAAGCGGTTGAAGACCTCGCGTGAAAACCCGCTCTGATTACCAAGTGTGAGGATCTAGGATCGAACTCAGAAAAGAGAATGTGAATTGAATTGAATTGAATTGAATGATCACCTGGTTACAACACGAGGCTATATATAGGCTCGACACAAGGCCCCGTAACCAGGTGTTACGCGAAGGTTCCGCGGGTCGCGAAGCGTCCCGAACAGATCCTTACCGAATTCGGTAGAAGGCAATTCGGTGGCAACCGAAAAGCCAGAATTCGGTGCACGCAACCTAGCTCGGTGCTATAACTATAATAAAATATAGGAAAGCACCTAGCCTAGGAAATCAAGCAATTCATGCATGCATATAATTATCCTATGCTAGAAACAGCATGATAAAGTAAAGGCAAGCAAGCATAGCTGGCATAAGCCGTCGTACTCTCACACTGGTGGTTCTGCTGGCGCTGGTGCTTCTGAGGGTGCTGGAGTTGGCGCTGTTGGAGCTGGAGGTGCTGCTGGCGCTGGTGCTGCTGCTGGGGGTACTGGTGCTGTCCCTGCTGGTTCTGGAGGCGCTGCGCGGCCGAGGCCGTACTTCGTTCCGCTCCTTGAGCAGGTTCTTGGTCTCCCGCCCTCTACTGGTCCTGCTCCTCCCTTAGAGTGTCCACAGCCTGTCCAGTCACGGTCACAGTTACAGCCCGCCTCCCCCCTACCTGCTCCTTCTCCCTACACTGGTCCTACTGGAGGTCTTGCTGAGCGTCGTGAGCCTGCGTCTCGTCCTGCGTCGCCTGTTCGTGCTGCTCGCACTAGTGGTCGTGCTCCGCGTCCGCGTCCTCCTGCGGTCCCACGCACACACCAGATGGCACTGCGTCCTTCCACTGCTCCTCTGCGTGTCCCGTTGCCGTCTCCTCCAGAGTCCTCTCTTCCTGTTCTTCCTGTCCCGGTGTCTGACTCTCTTCGTGCTGCCAGTCCTACTGTCACGCGTCTCCTGGCCACTGTTGTCACTGACCCTTCCTTTGAGTCCACTGCTGCGTCTGCCTTAGTTGCTGAGCTTGTCGACTTTGCTGCTCGCTGTCGTCTCGACTACGCCGCTAGTCTCGTTGCTGAGTCTGAGTCTGTCTGTCCTCCGTCCGTCGGGGGTGAGTGTGCTCTTAGCACGGACGTCCTTGAGGACAGGCAGGAGGAGTTCCAGTGTTTTGCTGCTGCTTTGCCTCATCTCGTGTCCACGCTGATTGCCCCTGAGGGAGACCCGGATGCACCAGACATCCCGACTCCTCGATCGTACGCTGAGGCGATCGAGGGTCCCTACTCCTCACAGTGGCAGTCAGCCATGGACGCAGAGATGACTTCCTGGAAGTCCACAGGCACCTACGTCGACGAGGTTCCCCCACCTGGGGCGAACATCGTCAGTGGCATGTGGATTTTCAGGGTGAAGCGGCCGCCGGGTTCTCCGCCTGTCTTCAAGGCGCGTTACGTGGCTCGAGGCTTCAGTCAGCGGCAGGGAGTTGACTACTTTCAGACCTTCTCTCCCACCCCGAAGATGACCACTCTTCGGGTACTGCTGCACATAGCCGCTCAGCGCGACTACGAGCTTCACTCTCTTGACTTCAGCACAGCTTTCCTGCAGGGCAGCCTGCACGAGGAGATCTGGCTGCGCCGCCCACCTGGCTTCACTGGGTCGTTTCCTCCTGGTACCCAGTGGAGCCTCCGGCGGCCAGTCTACGGTCTCCGCCAGGCGCCCCGTGAGTGGCATGACACACTGAGGACTACACTTGCGGCTCTTGGGTTTGCTCTGTCTACTGCCAACCCGTCGCTGTTTCTGCGCACCGACACCTCTTTGCCGCCGTTCTACATCCTCGTGTACGTCGACGACTTGGTCTTTGCCACTGCTGGACTCGCCCACGTGAAGTCCGAGCTGCAGAAGAGACACACGTGCACAGACCTGGGTGAACTGCGCAGCTATCTTGGCTTGCAGATCACCCGGGACAGAGCACGCCGCACCATCACCCTGACTCAGTCACACATGGTGCAGCAGGTCCTTCAGCGCTTCGACTTCACGTACTCCTCGCCTCAGGCCACTCCTCTGTCTACTCGCCACTCACTCTCAGCTCTGCCTTTGGATGAGTCCGTAGAGCCGAGTGGCCCGTACCCAGAGCTTGTTGGCTGCCTCATGTACCTGATGACCTGCACTCGACCTGACCTGGCATACCCTCTTAGCATCTTGGCACGCTATGTTGCTCCTGGGAGACACCGACCAGAGCACATGGCTGCAGCGAAGAGGGTGTTGCGCTACTTGTGCAGTACGTCGGGCATGGGGCTAGTGCTTGGAGGGCGACGTCCGGTGGTCCTCACAGGTCACGCAGACGCTTCTTGGGCTGACGACCAGGCTACGCAGCGGTCGTCACAGGGTTACACCTTCAGCCTTGGCTCCGGCTCTGTTTCGTGGTGGTCTACCCGCTCGTCTTCTTTTCTCGGCTCCAGCTGTGAGGCTGAGATCTACGCGGGGGCCATGGCTGCACAGGAGCTACGCTGGCTCACCTACCTGCTGACTGACCTAGGAGAGCCGCCTCGTTCTCCTCCAGTTCTGTACGTAGACAACAAGGCCATGCTGGCCTTGTGTCGGGAGCACAGACTGGAGCATAGAACGAAGCACATTGCTCTTCGCTACTTCCTTGCTCGTGAGCTGCAGCAGCGTGGTCAGCTGCGCCTTGCTTACGTGGCATCTGAGGCCAACACTGCTGATATCTTTACCAAGGCACTTCCGCCTTGTGATCATCAGCGCTTCTGTACGATGCTAGGTCTTGTGCCTACTTGGCCTCACTTGCTCACTTCTTGACCTTGCTTGTACTGTGATCTTTCTATACCTGCACTTGCTTGTTTACCTTTATATATATGATCTTGCATGTGAACTGGCCTTGTGGCCTTGCTCTTGTGCTCGGACTGTGTGGTGACGTTGTGATCCACCCTGAGCTTGCTTTGCTTTGCTTGACTGGTCTTGTGACCTCTTGTTCTCCCCCACTTTGCCTATGGGGGTGTGTCAAACTCATATGCTATAGTCTGTGTAGGCTGTAGTGGGGTAGACAATATGGGGTACAACACTTTTAGGTTTTCCTACTTGTACCCAACTGCTTGCTAGTTCATTCATTCCTTCCTCATTCTTTCACACCTGGGACGGTGGGAACAGGGAGAAGGAAAACAGAGGGGCACTTTGAAGTTATCAAGGGTACAGATGAGGGAAGGTTGAGAGAGGGGGAGAGGGGAAGATGGGGAGATGGGAACAGGGGGGGGGGGGGAGATGGGAAGGGGGGAGGGAGAGGGAGAGATGAAGAAAGTGACCAAGTGGGCTGTTTAAAAAAAATGGATGTGGGGGACGAAGGAGCGAAGGGGAGGGGGGGGGGGGAGAAAGGGGGGACTTGGGACAAGGACAAGCCAAGGGAGTAGAGAGAGAGAGAGAACAAGACGCATCTTTATGCCTCCCAATCAGCACCTAATGGTGTCGTGCGACGGATCGTAAAGCTTGACGAAGAGAAGAATGTCATCCTTGGCCCTTTCGGGCAAGTCCTGCCCATGCCCGTTCAAGGGGAAGAGAAAAGAAAAGATTGGCCCACTTGTGCAACAGCATCGAACTTAAAGACTCCCAAAAAACCACAGACCATTTTAATAAGAAGCGAAGACCACGAACCAAGAGGTCGCTTCCGTTAAGTTTACTGGGTAAAAGAGAATGGGGGTTCCGTCCGGCTAGAGAGTTTTGAAACAACGATAATTGGTTGACAAAGCACGTTAGAAAGAGCAAAACGTGGATAGGGATGAAGGTTTAAAAGGACAGCGGTAAGACACCCAGACTGATGAATATGGGAAAATCAGTGGTCATAAATGTTTTTGACCAACATAAAGCAGTGGCTTCATCCACACGGTTACAGTGGCTCAGTGGCCCACAACACAGTGCGGTTGAGACGTTTATCAATGGATGGATGAGAGTTAGTGGCAGCAGTATGTAGTTGACTTACAGGGGTGGGAGGGGGAGTGTCTTCCAGAAACAGGCGGAGGTCTGGGGTGTTCCCCTTCAACGTTCCCACCTGGTTTGGGCACAACAGACACACAAGTGAGGAAGTTACAAAAGTTCCACAATAGACCCTTAACCCTCCAACCAAAAAGCTGTTATCTCAAGGGCTACATGGCTCATCTCTTCTCCCGCTTGTCATCTCCTCCACGCGGAGACTGCACCCACGTCACCATCAGAGCCCTTCCGCAAACTCTCGTCCCTTTCACTAGATACGCATCGCACTGCAGTCTTCGTCCATACGTTTCCCGCCCGCATGCTGTCCGATCCATCCCCATCTTCCCTACTCACCGTCATAACCTCCTCCTCTGCACTGAGTTGCTGGCTTGGGCGATCCATATCGCTCCGCCTCTTGCCCCAGACCCAGAACCGCTGCCTGTCGACCGGAATTGTCATCTCCTTCTCCACCTCCTTTTTGAAGTCTGTGAATCGCATCTGCTTCTGCACTCGAAAACTCCTCACTAGCCCATGGTCCGCCAGATTGAGATAGACGTTTCGGCCAATCTGCTGCTGCAAGTCCTCGTCCCGAGCCACCTTGATCACTGCACATTGGTCGTCCTCCTCCCTCTCCCGCTTCAACCGAGCCTGCATCACGAGCAATGGAAAGCGGAACAGCAATGTGTTCAAGGCGAAGGCAAGAAGCAAAGATGGCGCCCACAAGGTGAGCAAAAGAGGAAGCAAAGGCTGGGGCACAATTTGACTAAACAGGACAACAGCAAAACACTGATGTAATTAAGGGACATGGAAAGAATCTTACTTGCAATGGTTGAGCGATGCCCTGTGCATCCATGTTGCTGCAGAGAATCTTCTGGCGGTCAGATTAGCGAATGTAGACCAGCATGTAGGCGTTGCAGCACTACGTCAAGTTGAAGGGAGTGTTATTAAAGCCAGAACGAGAGTGGAAGGTGGAATGGTGGGGAAAAGGGGGAGACAGGGGATAATTGCAATTGAAAGCACTTCAATTCAGGTCGTCCACTAACATGAAATGGGGTTAAGCATCACTTGTTTCACTTCACCTTGTCATGCAAGAACTCACCCATCCCTGCCCCTGCACAACTAAACATACCTCCTCCTCGCCATTGAACTGATGGTTGGTCACTTCTTCATTCACGAACTTGTACCTGATAGGGAAAAGGGAGTGGCGTGGACGGGGAAGAATCTCAGGATAGATGGGCACCAAGTAATAACAACGGTTCATGACGGCAACGAGCTTAGACAAGATCAGGAATTCAAAGATGTTAAGTAAATTGAATGCGCAAAGAAAGCCGGGCAACAAAAATAGACAAAGCGAGGCGAGGCGTGTAGAAAGAGCAGCACTAGATTCAGCACTAGGCTGGTATCGTACCATCGGGTTTCAAGGTCTGGACGAATCAAGGCGTAGCAATGGCCATCATCAACTCCACCCACGTGGGCCATGTAAGAATGAATGGGAGGAAGGACAGCCATGCATGCGGGGAGGGTGACAAAAAAGGCCTTAGGGTGCTTCATTTGTTGGAACTACAAATTTGGGCAGTCTCATAACAATTTTGTAGATGAGAACATGACTCCTACATTAGACAGCCGTTAAGCAGAAAAAAAAGAACCTACATTTACGATTGTTAACATAAGTCAATCGTTAGCATTAAGTCCATCAGATTCATCATCACCTGTGCAGCAGGTAAAGGTTGCGGACGCTCCTGTCCAAGTCCGTGGTGAGGTACTTGCCCCCGTCCTTGTCCAAGTCCAGCTCCAGCGGGAACTCACACCGCTCGCTCACCTACAGCGGGGGTTACGGGTACGGTTGAGAGCGACGACCAAGGGGACAGAGAAATGAGACGCGGAACATTAGGATAAGGAATGTGCAGATCCAGTGGTCCCAAACAACTGAGGTTCAAGTGAAACCTGTACGATCGTAAGGGGATGGGACGGGGGAATATGGATGAATGAAAAGGGCAAGTTGTAGAACCAGTAAAGACATGCTGCAATGAGATGCAGCAGGAAGTTAAGGGTCTAAGCTGAGCCGGCTCGTCGAGCCAGGCTGGGATTGACGAGCTGAGCCGTGGCTCGAAATTATCGGTTGAGACAAAGGGTAAGGGGGAACTCAAGTCGAGTCAAGGCAGCAAGTCTCCAGCCGTTAACCACGGCTTATGGACTGGAAATGTAAGATAAGAAGTTCATCTGGATAAAACAACAATCTATTAGCAAGAAATTTCTAATTCCAGCACTGTTCGAGTCACCGTTCATAAACCGGCATGTGGCTTAAACGAGTAGAAACCGCAAAGAACGAGAGCAATTTGACAATAAAAGTTGCAGTGCAAGATCCTTCACCTGTGTAATAGCTTAATACCTTGACTGTTTTTTTGTCCACCAGATTGTTGTACTCAAAGCGCTTCAAATTCAGCTGCAACACTGGTGGGAGGTCAACGAATAGCACACCTTTCTTGGCGTCCTGTCAAATTAGAAGGGGTACACAACAGCGGAGACATGAACTCAGGAAATGCAAGACTAAAGGGAAACCAGAAAGCCAAAAGGCAAAACCAGTCGGTTGTACAAGGAAACGCATGGACAGAATGAGACAGAGGAACAGGGAGGAAGGAAGCGAAAGAGCTGGATTGGGTAAGCAAGGTGAAGTAAGGATGCCACACTCCTCTTACAGGAGTAAGGCGAATTGGAGATTCTGGAAATGGAAGGCCACTCGTGAACACTCTCTCTGTAGCTAAAGATTGCTACAACACAAGTATGGATGAGCGCAGGGCTGGTCGAAGGCCAGTGAGGAGCAGACCAGCCTGTCTTGAGGATGGTCCTTGGCCAAGATTTTTAATGTCCAGACTGGGCCGACCGACCCGTTGGTTTCTGTCCAGTCTGAGCCGCTATGAGGTTCGAGGTAATGGGACAGCCCAGTAAGGGCCGGCAGGCCATTTTGCGGGCCAGGTCTGTCCAGTCAGGGCCGGGTCGTCCCAAGGTGGTGACATACCCTCTACATGTCCTTGAGACAATCTCAGATCGGGCTGGTATAGAAAAATTTGTCTCAGGATCTGATCTCTGACTAGTATCAGGTAAGCATGCATGTATGAGCATTGGTCCTCACCAAGCCGGCTCAGACTGAGCCGCGACGAGCAGGCAGGTCGACGAGCCGAGCCGGCAAGTTAACCATCTCGACAGCAGAACCAGCCTTGGGCAAGCCCTAATGACTGTATGACCGTGCCTATATGGCAAGTATGAGTTGGTGAGGCCAGACAATGTGTGAGCAGCCATGCTGTAACAAACACCCACCTGCAAACCATGCTGTTCCGCATAGAACTTGGTGTTTCCATCTAGTTTCTCCGCTTCCACATACTTATCCAAGCTCGCATACACGTCCTTGCACCCCTTCACGTCCAGAAGAAGGCCTGCACGGCAATGTATCGATCAGCGATTTATATTATACAGCATGGGGAGGAAAGGGGAAACACTGCAAAAACCTACAAGAATACCTTAGTAACTAGTTTCAGAGGTGGCAGGAACAACTCGTGTCACCACCACGTACCAGCAAACGGTTCCTTCCAGGCGAGCTTGTGATCCACGTTGATGCACTCAATGAAGGCCATGGCATGCCCACCAAATAGCTTCGTCACGGTGCCCTCCACGGATGTGCCCCTCATTTCCTTCTCCAGTTCTGTACACAGCACTCGGTTCACCTCGTGCGCGTCATGCTTCATGGGAGGGTCACCAGCCACCCACCCAAGCCTTTTCGAGAAGTTGTAATGGAAACGCTAGTGTCGGTGAACTGCAGCTTGTAGAAAATGCTCTGGAGTGCCGAAAGAAGGCTTCCAGCGTGAAGGTCATTCGCTAAATCAGACACGCGATACACGGCTTTCCGGAGAAACGGGATGTGGTAGAGCGACTGTAACAAGGGGCTGAGGCAGCACACGCCCTCTCGGTTGCTGAGGCCCACGAATCCCGTCTGTTTCTTTGACTCATCGCGCACTGTCACGTCAGCCTCAACGATGAGAGTGTCGCTAACGAGGAATCCTTTAAAGGAGTCTTTGAGGTCCTTGAGCGACATGATGGCAGCCCAGCCCAAGTTCATTGTTGTTGCAGTGAACAGACGGCTCTCTTCTGCGAATTACATGAAGGGCGGATGGGAGGGAAGGAGGTTGGAGGTTGTTGTGAAGATGGAAAATACGAGAGTAATTTATGAGAAGAATTCATACACTCATCATACAGGGAAGGACGAGAATTGAGCTTGTGATGGTTGGCATCATAGGGACAGACCAGCAGGTCAGCATTAGGAAAGGGGGTTGGCTTAAAAGAGAGTAGAAAGAGCTAGAGACGAACAAAGAAATGGAGAGTGGGAGAGAGCGGCAGGGGGGGGGGGGGAGAGGGGGGGGGTGAAGGAGTTGAACAGAGAGAAGGGTGGAACCGGCGGTGGAGAGGGACGGTAGCTAGGTGGTTTTCTGGACAGCTGACGGTCGGGTTTAACAATGGACGCAGAACCGATGTTCACAGAGGTCCGAGCTCGTTGTTCCAACCCAAACGCCCAGACGGATGGATGTCGTCCATCCTTGTTATTCAAACCCGATGACCTCACAGAAAGCACTCAGTGTCAGGGGTAAATACTCAGTGACATTCTGTTACTTCCCCAACTACAACAGCAACGTGACCTACCGGAACGCACCCTTCTCCACACACTCAGATCCCGCTCACCTCTACCCCCTCATCTCATTTGCCCTAGTTTGCCTCACCCCATACCTCATCGCACTGACTTGGTCCTGTCAAATTGGTTGACCACAGTCAACCCAAAGCGAATGCTCTTGGTCCAACCGGGCTGCAGTGTGGCGGCATTTGCCATGTCAAGGAACAGCGACAAGTCCTCAGACGTTTTCTCCCCCCACTGGTACATCAGCAGCCGCCTAGATAGAGAAACCAACGAGGGTAGAGCAGTTGAGATAATTCAGGGAATGCTTATTGATGGGGCGGACTAGGAAAGATGGGGGGAAGAGGTGAGGAGAGGAAGGAGTTAACAAATAGGAAAAAAGGAGTGCAACAGAAGCCGAAGTTCTACATAAGGGGGATTAGAGAAGGGAGACATGAATTGTTGCAATCAGACATGAGCACAAGAAGAATCAAGCCCGCTGAGCCAATCCCGGCTTGTCAAACCAAGCGCGCTGAGCCAAGCCCCACTGCCCTAACCCGTCTCATTGCGTGTGTGTTTCTTGGCTACTCGAATTGACAAAGACGAACGACTGCATGGAAATCTTAGCAACCGCTTTCAGAATAGAAGAGGCAAGAGGATCAGCTTTGAGAAAGAGGATAGGGGGACGGGAAAATGGGAGTTCTGATGGAGGTGGTGGGTGAGGACACATGATGACATGAGCAACCGCATGGAATTCATGAGAAGGAGAAACAGAGAGTGTTGGGAGAGTGTGCGGGGAGTTCGGGAGCGAGGATGAGAAGGCGGAAAAGGCATGAGAAGGAAGTGTGCACCCAAATTGTCCGTGGGAGGCCAGCAGAAGGTGCACCTCCACACAAGTTCATTCATAGATTCAACACAATTACGCACCAGTTGCAGCCCCCAACCAAGAAGGACTCCCTGGAGTAGACCGTTCGCTCTGTCAGCTTGGAGAAGTTGT